ACATACTGAACTTCCTTTGTGTTTCATATCATTTTCTTGCTAATCCTTGCTAATCATTTCCATTTATTTTCCTCAGTATTCTTGATTTGTCCTCCATATCTCTTACCAGTTGTTTTTTTTTTTACCAGTTCTCCTTATGCTATTGCCAGTGTGGTTTTTATATTGTTGTTGTTGTTGTTATGTGCCATTGAGTCGGACCTGACTCATAGCGACCCCTCCTTGGGTTTCCAAGGCAGTATCACTAGGGAAGTAGATGCCCCACCTTCCTTCCGAGGAGTGGCTGGTGGGTTTGAACCGCCAGCTTTCTGGTTACCAGTCTAGTGCTTTAGGCACTATGCTACCAGAGCTCCCATTACAGCTGTTTTATTTTTCTACTTCTTTCCTGAGCTATTCTAGCTCACGCTTTAAGTACTTTTGTTGTCTTGACCTGTATCCCCTGAACTCCTACATCTTTGCTTAGATTCCTTGTTTCACATAACAAATGTTTTAAATTCTTTAAAAACCATGTTGTAATATAATTTTAAAATCTATTCTACAGCACTTTTTCTTATGTTGTTTGTCTGTCATTTGTTTTTCATTTTTCTATTTTTTCCCTTCTTTTTTTAACTGGAGGATCCCTGTAAAGATTTTGTGCTAGTCTCATATTGATTTTTCATTGTCTTTGAACTAGGTGACTTTTTTTTTTTTTTTTCATGAATGACTATTTGCAAGAGGTTCAGGTTCAAGAAGGAGGCTTAGTCATTTTCCAGGCTAGCGGAAATTCTTTTTGAATCATTCTCAGGTTCTTTATGACACAATTGTGGCTGAGGGTTCTTTTACTTTTAACTTCTTTGAGAAGAGATCTGAGACTATATTGCTGAGTCTCCCTTATCCAACATGTCTGACAGACTACTAGTTCGTAAAGTGGCAGGAATGTATGATTCTTGATTTAGCTATGCTTTTCCTTAGTGATGTCAGAGTACACAGGGTCCTTGGGTGGTGCCAATGGTTTGTGCTCCACTACTAAAGATTAGCAGTTCTAATCCACCCAGTGGTGCCATGAAAGAAAGGCCTGGTGATCTGCTTCCATGAAGATTACAGTCAAGGAAACTCTATGGAGCAGTTCTACTCTGTAGCACATGGACTTGCCATGAATTGGAATCTACTCAATGGCAGTGGGTTTGGTTTTTGGGTTGTGGTGCATGCATTCAACAATTTGTGTTAAACATGCTCTAGTAACTCCCTTTTAATTGTTTAAGAAAGAAATATACAATTTATGATGCTAAGGATTTTGCAGTATTTGTGAGAAAAAGCCACTAACATCAAAGTGCGGTCAAACCATTCATTTGATGGAAAAGATAATGTCCAACTTTTAATAAGGATTTTTTTTTTCTCTTCCTGCAATATTTCTTGTTGAGATTTAAACAAGTTTTTCATGTGGTATATATCTATATGAGGTCACATAGTTTGCTCAATGCATTTTGGTCCAAAGAGTTCTTAAGTTTTCAGTGACAAACTAATGATATTCTTTATAAGAATATATGTAAGAATAAAGCATTGGTTTAGGAGTCCTAAAAAAATCATCTAGTTTACATACCATTTTCCCTTCTACAACCTGTATTTTATAGCTCAGGTGGGTAAAGTGACTTACCTACAAACTTAGTGGCAGACCTGGGACTTGAGTCTGGTTTCCTAACTTGAAGTTCTTTCCAGAACCCTAGCTCACCTTCCTGGTTTATAACTTTAGGTATGATAGGCTAAATAGAAGTGATTTGGAAATTTTCAAACTCCATTTGTGCATTGTATTTAATTCGTGTTCATTTTCCCTCACCCCATTTGCCCAGTATTGAACCTGGACCACACAAACATGATCTATGGGCAGGAAAGTGGATGGAGAAGAGTTTGATAGGCATGTAACTAGGAAATCTTTAATGGTGGGCTATAAAAATGCCTCTTCTTTGGATCTTTAACCAAAATTTAAACAGCTTTAAGGAAATACAAGGACTAGGACATAAAATTTAGTAATCCAGAATATCTGGTAGTGTTTTCTGGAGAGGAATTTTTAGGGAACAGTGACCTTTTTACTGTTAGGTAATACTTTGTTGAGAATGAAGTTAAAGGCATAATAAAGGAAGAGGCTGGAAGCCATGGACTGTTCCCTTGGGGATAGGGGTGGGTGGGGGGAAATGGCAAGCTGGAGAAAATGATCAGGCGACCTGGAAAATAGTCCAACCTAAGGCCCTCAAGTCAACATAATTAGAGTCTACAGCACTAAGGCTTAACTCTTCTTAGAGAAGGTGGATTTTGTCTTTGTGGTTTCCAAGATCACTATCTTTCATTTTACATGGTGTCCTGTTAGATATGATCATAATAAAGCCAGACCGAATTCATCCTTGGCATTTATGCCTCATTCTTTGGGTCATGGGAGCTCTGGTGGTGTAGTGCCTAAGGCATTTGACTGCTAATCAGAAGGCTGGCCGTTCAAACCCACCAGCCACTCCTTGGAAGGAAGACGGGGCAATCTACTTCCGTTGTGATACTGCCCGGAAACCCAAGGAGGGGTCGCTATGAGTCGGTCCGACTTGATGGCACATAATAACAACAACAAACATACCCAAGCTAGAGGAGCTTACAGTCGTGGCCACAGAGCCATGTGCAACTTTTCCCCCTGCTTTCTCCTCATTTTCACTGCTTCTGGAAAACTGCCTTCTATGACAGAGAGGGAAAGAAGGAGAGAGCATCAGCAATTTTTTCAATTCTAGGGAGAAAAGCTGAGACTGAGAACAGAATGGTGAGCTCTGGAAGCTGATCCTTAGGCAAAGGGACAAGTGTGGAAGTTGGATTTGTCGATTTAGCCCGTGTTTCTAACAACCAAGTAAACCCCTATTTGCTCTCCTCAGCTCGGACAGCCTTAAGCTAACAACTTTTGAAAGATGGAAACAGCGCCGAGGTGCGAATGGATCAAGGAAAGGGGTGGAGAGCCGCCGGACTGATTGCTTCCATGAGAGCACCCAGCTTCTCATCCAGCCTGTCATGAGGCAGAAGGCGCTGGATGAAGCCTCTTTTTCAAGGAAGGAGTTTTTTTTTTTTTTTTTTTCCCTTCCCTTTTACTGTGAAATTGGAACAGTCGTGGGAAAGTAGGACAGGTGTCACCAATCCAGAAACAGGGCTGTTAACTCAAGAAAAAGGGCTCTAAAGGAACAGTCTTAATACAAAGAAAGCTAAACATTTCCAATCAAGAGGGACTCCCTGCAAGATGGGGACCAGGGATTGGGCAGTGAGCTACCCTCTGGCAGGTGGACGTTGGGAGAAGGGTGGGCAGGCCAAAGGTGCAACTTAAGAGATGGGAAGCCCGAGAAAATTCTTCTGGCTAGGTTTTCTAGCTTGCAGTTTAGAATGTTTCCAGGTACACGCACCTAATCTGGGTGTGCAACTCAGCCAGGTGCAGGTGGGGTTCAGATGCAGCTCTCCGAAGACTATATGGGACAATGGGCTGCGGGCTATTGCTCGCGCGCAGACGTTCACTTTCCACAAAGTCTCTTGGTTTCAGTAGAGGCCGAAGAGCTTCGGGAAGAGAGGAAGAAAGCTGGAACAAATAGGAGGAGCCAAGCGTGAGCGAAGGCCCGCCCAGGCCCCCGGGCGCCCGCCGGTTGCTCTAGCCTGGCTCCCGGGCCGCCCCAGCTGCGCGGAGACCGCGCGGAGCAGTCCCGGAATTCACCCGCCACACAGGCCGGTAAATAAACTCGGGAGTTTTGCTCCCAAGGGGAAAAAAGAATTGCTTGGCACGTCCTGCGCGTTCCCGCCCCCCGAAGCTCCTAAGGCTTTCTCCCGTTTACTAGTCCTTCCTCACCACCCCCGTCCCTAATTTGACACGAACGTGGATTTTGGTGCAGTGCGAAGTAGCTCTAGTCACGGAGTCAGCAAGGGACCGACAGGCTTGGGGAACGCCAGCCGCCTGCAGGCGATGTGGGCTCGGAGTCAACGCCCACCTCCGCCTCCATCCCTGCCGCCGTTTCCCATCGTCATAACAACCGGCCCCCGCCCGTCCGCCTCCGGGAGGAGCCGGGCGGCTGCGGACCGCTCGGGCTCTTGCCGGGGACGCGCGGCGAAAGCGCCGGGGCTGGGTGAAGGCTCGTCAGCCCCCGCCCTCGGCGCCACGCAGTGGGGCGGGCGTGCACCCTCCCTCGTCCTGCCGCTTCCGAGCCGAACGCAGAGGCGCCCCCTGCGGCGGCTAGGAAGGAAAGCCCTCGCGCCCCCAAGATTTGACTGCAGAATTAATAAAGCAACCCAAGGGGCTGGGAGTCTCCCATATGCGCTCCGGCTCCCCACACCTGCTCGGGTCCCGCGCACCTGCCCTCTCCGGGGTATTAGGGTTGATGCGGGTCTGCGCGCAGCGGCCAGGGAGTCTTGCTAGGCCGCCGACAGCTGTTGCCCTCCGCGCCTAGGGCACGGTGCTCCGGTGGAGCAGGACATCCCCGAAGGCGGCAAGGCGCGAGAGGCGGGGAGGCAGCCGGGGCGCACAGGGAGGGCGGGGAGCGTGAGGGAGTAGGAGGGGGAAAAGTAGGAGGGAGGGAGCGGGGCGGTCGCGCAGGGAGGGAGGAGAAGGGAGGAAAGAAAGTAGCAGAAAGTGAGGTTTGCTGCAGGCGGCAAAGGAACCCTTCAAGCGGTGGCGGCGGAGCAGGCGCCAGCAGCCGCGGCGGCAGGAAGTCTGTGCCAGAAACGAACAGAAATAAGAGCCAAAGAGGGACCGCGGCGGCGAGAGAGTGAAAGAGGAAACTGCAGAAGAGGAAGCTCAGCCGCAGCGCAAAGTCTGCCTCTGGCTCTTCTCTGAGCATCCCCGCGCCACCCGCCCCATCCTTCCCGAACCTGCTAGCCTTCGCTCGCGCCACCTCTGAATCTCCGGCCGCCGCCCCCTGCGCTCCGTTTGCCGGGCGCCCCCTCCTCAGAGTCCCCATCTCCGGCCCTCGCCTCCCCCGGCCCCTCCACCTCGTCGCGCTCCCCACACGCCGCACTCGTCTGCCATGGCCCGGGAGAATGGCGAGAGCAGCTCCTCTTGGAAAAAGCAAGCTGAAGACATCAAGAAAATTTTCGAGTTCAAGGAGACCCTCGGAACGTAAGTAGGGACCAGGGAGAAGAGGGTGGATGTGGCGTCGGGTGCATAGGCGGCTCCTGCTGCCACCGCCGCGGCTGCAGCAGGAACCAGGCTAGTCGCCGCGTCTTCATTGTCCTGTTTTGGCTCTGTGGAACCCCCCACCCCGTGCGCCCAACGTGGGTCTGCTCCCTCGGGCGCGAGTGGGCACTGCTGCTGGGCGGAGGGAGAGCGCTGGGTTTTCAGAGAACAGCCCACGCTGGCAGGCGACTTTCCACTTCCCCTGACACTGCCACCTTCTCGACTTGTTTTTCCCCACGCGTGACTGTGGGCTGAGCATGGTGGGTATTTCTGTTTACTGAATGTGTGTGTTTACTCACCGTGTGTATGGCCACACTGTGTCGACGAGAGATGTGGTCACGAGAATATCAGGTTTCTGTCATTTCCATTTCTGTCCTTACATCATATATTCATATAGAATTGATATTTGCACGTATGAGATGTAAGCAAGACTTTGAATAGTCACGCAATTATAGGAGGAAGGAATTTCTCTGTGCTCAGGGTCACATGTGGGCAGATCCTTGCCAAAGTGTATGCACATTTCACATAGGCTCAGCTGCACACATGGGGGTGCGTTTCTCCATGGGAGGGTCTGTGAGTGTCGCTGTACAGGCGGTTTTCTCTTCAGGGCTGTATTTAGTCCGCTGCTGATGGCTGCGTCTCAAGAAAGCAGAAATAATCAGAAGTCGATGGCATGAAAGCTCCAAGCATGTGCTGCTCAGTTCAGCTGCTGTTCCCTTTCTGCTCTGGAGTTGGGTTTTGTTTGTTTGTTTTGGAGTGCCTCAGAATAGGTAGGAAGAATGACAGTGAAAAAGAACTAGGCACTGCTAAATGAGTCTGAAGTTCAAGTTATTTTCTTCCCTCCGATGATTGTATTTGTTGTTGATCGGTCTTTGTTGTTGTCAGTATATATATTCACACATACACTCACACACATAGACACACATGTTATATGAACCCAACATTTTCCAGAGGTTCATTATTGAGGTGTTGATTAGGCTGGGAAGAAAAAGGAGGAGTGTTTGATGGGATAAATCAGTGTGATGTTGGATGCTGTCCACCCCCCACCCCCAACCACATTTTTGAACCCAGGCTGTCTTCTGCTCCATATTCAGGGTCTCCTGCAGTTAGCTGTTCAGTCCTTTTTCTCCTCATATCTGCAGTGGGTCCACCAGAAAGAAAATGTGAAGATAGTATATGCATTGCTAGCTTTGGTGCTGAACCTGGGGGAAGCACATGTGCTGAGGACTAGAATAGGGTCTTCCTGCTGTTGCAGCTGTGCTTTAGGGAGGACACCTGTGGGTATAGATGGGCTGAGCTGCTTTTGTTCAAATAGAAACAGAAAAATCAAAAACCAAACCCACTGCCAACTGAGTTGATTCCCACTCATAGTGACGCTATAGCATAGAGTAGAATTGCCCATAGGGTTTCCAAAGCTGTAAATCTTTATGGAAGTAAACTGCCGCATCTTCTCCCATGGAACAGCTGGTGGGCTCGAACTGCTGACCTTTTGGTTAGCAACCAAATGCCTTAACCACTATACCACCAGAGGTCCTGGAAACAGAAAGAACAGCTTTTTAATAAAGAGGAGTTTGGAGCTGCCTCTCAGCATAGTCAATCAATGACTGCTTTTGGTCAGAACTTTTGAAAATAGCCATTGAGGTTCATTTGAGTTTGGAGTTGTGACTCTCAGGTGCTCAAGTTCCTTAGAAACAAGAATCATGCCCTTGGTTGTCTTCTAGAGACTGATACTGTGGCTGTGGATGAGAGGGCTGGAGAGTGTGGAATCCTGTCTTGTGAGAACACATTCCTTTGCATTACCTATCCCTACCTAAACCCCGGAAACTGGTCCTTTGGCTCACAGCTTCCAGGCAGACTGATGCAGTCTCCCCTAAATGACTCCTGCTCCACAGGAGAGTCCTGCAGCCACTCCTCTGCAGTGGCCAAGCTGCTGAAGCTCAGTGAGCTGTGGCTTCATTGAGCAGCTCCTCCTGCTGTAGCAAGCATTGCTGTTGGGGGCTGATTGCAGGTGGGTCCCCACTCCCCCATGAAGGATGAGGATTTGCCTTCTGGTGCCAGAGGAGAGTGTAGAGCTCTTGCAGAGCAGCCTTTTAGATTCTGGTCACATTCCCAGTGAGTTTTGGGTGAGGGTCCCTGTTAGGTCCCAAAGCTTTGTCTTCTGCCTTGGAAAGAATTCTTTGAAAAGAAACTTCCCATTGAGGTCCTATAGTATTGGCAATGGTTCTAGAGGAACAAAGCACAAACAATATAATAATTAGATCAAGGTGTTTTCATTCAGTGACATAATAGTAGTGGTACTTATAGCTGACATTACTAAATGAGAACCAAGTGACAGGCATTCTGTGTGCCTTGCATTTAAATTAACTTAATGTTCATAATAACTGTATGAGGTAGATATTTACTATTATGTCTTATTTACACTTGAGAAAACTAAAGCAACAGAAAGATCACATAACTTGCCAAAGGTTAGCTAGCGATTAAGTGGTGGAGCTGATAGACAAAGCTAGACAGAGCCAACTCTTATCCATATGGGGTTGAGCCACTTTGTAGATTGTAATAAAACCAAACTCACTGCCGTCTAGTCGATTATGACTCATAGTGACCCCTCCTTGGGTTTCCGAGGCGGTATCTCTATGGAAATAGATTGCCCAGTCTTCTTTCTGAGGAGTGGCTGGTGGGTTTGAACCACCAGCCTTCTGGTTAGCAGTCAAATGCCTTAGGCACTATGCCATCAGAGCTCCCAGATTATGTAATAGCAAAGTTTTATAATAATTTACTTTACTTTACTTTAGTATTTAGAAAGCTAATTCCAATATGAATGTAAAGAAAACATAAGTAGAAGGTAACCTGTTATTTAAATATGTAAGCATTTCAAAGCTAAATATAAATGGCTTTTGCATTATCAAAGGAGCTCTGGTGGCATATTGGTTAAAGCATTGGGCTGCTAACCAAAAAGTTAAGTGGTTTGAAACCACTGGCTGCTCCACAGGAGAAACATGGGGCAATCTGCTTCTGTAAAGATTTATGGCCTTGGAAACCTGTGGGACAGTTATACTCTGTCCTAAAGAGTCGCTATGAGTTGGATTTGACCCAACGGCAGTGGGTTTGGTTTGGTTGTGCATTATCAACATCACTTTATCTCCTTGAACTTTCTAGAAGTGGTCCCAAGTTAAGGATGCCTGCCTGTTTCACCCTGCACCAAGTCCAGTGATCTTGGCCTGAGTCTAAATATGGACGTCACTTTTGATCCATTCTGTGTAGATTTCGAGTCTGGGCTCTTTTCTTGTTTGTAATGGAACTTAGTGTAAGACAAAGACATCAGCAGTTAAGAATGGAATTCATTTCCAAAGTACTCTGCAGTTTCATTAATTTTGTTTGTCACACCTTCATCATATGTCTTTAAGATTTTCAGTTAGGAAAGCCCTGCTAGAAGCAAGACTGTCAGCTTGCAGTGTTAAGATGTTTTTTAAATAAAGCAATTTAAAGGCCTCAGGAGCACTCAGCCAGATTTTGTATTCTGATATTTGCTTGCCTTATCTAGGTGCCTTTCCTTGCAGAGCACATTCAAGTGTTCAAAGCTGGGGGTAAAGCTATTCAATTTGTGTGATTAGAAGGACCTCGGTGGAGCGTGCAGGCCAAATGGGAGTGAAAGTTGACCCAAGAGGTGGGAAAAGAGATTGAGGAAGGGAAGGGCAGTGAAGGGACCAGTGTTCATGCTTTGAAGACAGGGCTTTAATGCCCCTCTGAATTGGGCTTCAGGAAAAACCTTTTAACCCATGGACTGCAGTTAAGCCTCTTTTCAAAGGGAATCCCAGAACCTAACTATGTCTTTGAATTAGGTGGTAAGACTTAATTACTGTTTATTAATGAACAACATGTTTTCAGATCCTTGGCACACTGTGAGAGCAAATAAATGTTGTGTAACAGCAAATTAGAAATGGTAAACATTTCTTCTGGTGTGTTTGCTGAGGCTGTTAAGGCCATGTTTCCTCTAGAAATCTTTCACTGACTTCTGAAACAAAGTGATTAAAATAAATTACTTGGAGAAGTATATGAATGGGAAGAAAGCTTTGGTGTGGTGTCTAGGAGGCACTCTAAACACATGGAAGTCACTACGATAATTTCCAGGCTATGAAATGCACCTGAATAGAGAAGGCCTTGGTACTTCACACAGCACAGAATGACTTTCCAGTCTATCTCATTTCCCTTGGAGTATAGGAAATGGCATAGCCTAGAAAAGATACCTTCTTGTCTGTGGCTATGAATACGTGTTTTTCTTATGAGGTGTACATTTTAAGATGAAGTAATTACTCCCTGTAGGTGGGGGACCAGACAGTGTAGATTTTGAGCCTAGGTATCAGGGGTCTGGCTCAGTCACTAATGGGTTGGATGGATGACCTGTAGCTTATTAGTTGCTCACCTTACCCTCTCCATATCTTAGCCTCCTAATGTCTAAAATTTGGGGGGTGTGTGTGTGGCTGTAGAGGGGCTAGGTGATTTTTAAGTGCCCTTTAACCCAAAACTTTTGTGTCTCACCTTTGCAAGGATGGCACTGCTTAATGATTTCCTTGTGTAGCTACGTGCAGCTCATTAATGTTTGTTGTTTTTAACTGCTGTCAAGTTGACCCTAGATTCATGGCAACGCCACACACAATGGAACAAAACACTGCTCATTCCTGTGCTATTCTCACGAGTGGTTAGAGATCACGGACCATTGTGATCCATAGGGTTTTCATTGGCCAATTTACAGAAGTGAATCACCAGGCATTTCTTTCTGCTCTGTCTTACTCTGGAAGCTCCACTGAAATCGGTTCAGCATCATAGCAACACATGTCTACACTGACAGGTGCTGGCTGTGCACGAGGTACATTGTCTAGGAATTGAAACTAGGCCTTTTGTATAGAAGACAAGAATTCTGTCACTGAACCATCACTCTACCTACT